ATAAGGACTAATGATACGACACTCCAGTCTATAAGAAAACAAATATCATAATGAATATAAGAAAAAATAGGGCTCATAAACTCAGAAAAAAGCCATGAGGAATAGTGCCTATAGGCAAAAAAAAAAACCTTCCAAAAGTGACAAAATAGAATGAATATTTAAAGAAACATCGAATAAATCACATTTTCATTAAGGCCTTTGGGGGCCACAGTGTCCAGATAGTGGATCTAATATGTTTCACGATGTAAAAGCAATTTAGACCTGTCACCCCCACGGGAAGAAACAGGGACATGGTTTATTGCAATAAAGCAGAGCGTGGTAAGAGGGTGTTGGATGGCCAAAAAAAGTTTAACTACCGGCTTGTCAGTGCGTTGATCCCGAAAGGTGGTTATAATCCCAGATCTATGCCCTCTAATGCGGTCTCTCAAGGTGAGGTCACTCTTGCCCATGTATGAAAGTCCACATGGGCAGGTGATACGATACACAACGTGATCTGTTGTACAAGTGATGTAATGTCTAATCAAGATGCGTTTGCCACTATAGGGATGGGCAAAAGAAGATCCACTCATCATATGGCTGCAGGTAAAGCAGCCAGGACATTTGAAACATCCCATCTTGATGGAAGCTGTTTTTTTTGTAGCAGTGAATAGGATCACTGCTGAGAGTGGGGAATTTTCTCAGTCAGGAATTTCCTCTTGCCATGGTCTTTCTTATCAATTTGCAACTCTCTGTATTTCTCCTCACATTCCCAAACCAGCTGGTGAGGAGCCCCAGTGAATGAGACAAGACAATGCAAGATTCAAGGTGACTTCTGACCTTTAATAGGCTGTGTAACAGGTTATATTCAAGAGGAAACAGTGGTGGCCTTATAAACATTATCCAATAATAACATAATTCATCAATCTTAATGCAACATATCTTATCCTATAGCTAGCTTGCAGGTGTAATGGGGGAGTTTAACTACGCAGCTGAAATTATAAAATTGGTACTATGCAGTTAAAGTTACAGAAATAGAAAACAGGAAATAAGACCAACGCTCTGAGACAGGAAAGTTTATAGCTCACTATATTCACTAAGTATTGTATATAGACAAAATGTATAATTTCCAACAATTGCGTACAAGTAAATCATGTAAATTACAATTTCTTCTCTAGCTTATAATCAGTGTTTCATAAAGAAAAGAAAAAAAAAACTTTAGTAGGTTGCTATTGGATTGCAGGTCACTCCAATGTTTATAGATGGATTCCCTGATGTGCTTAGTGCTTGTGTGAAATGTCAAAGGTAGGAAAATTTTCTTACAAACAGGTTCAGTGGATGAGGTGTCCTGTGGATGTTTGGACCATTTTCCAAAGCTTTGGATTTGGCTGTAGATAGTATTCGAGGATGATAACCCCTGTCATGAAATCGATCCCACATTTGTCGTAATTGCTTCTCTTGAGTTTTAGTATCACTGTTATATCTAACGTGTAGAAATTGGGAGATAGGTAGTGAATCTTTAAATTGCTGTGGGTGAAAACTGGTGGCTACCAATGATGTATTACGTTCTGTCTGTTTACGGTATAAAGTGTACCCTAATCTGTTAATTCTATATACACTTACATCCAAAAATTGAATAATAGATTCATTGCAGATGGGTGTTAATTTAACAGACAAAGGTAATAAATAGTGATGTACCGAACGGTTCGCCGGCGAACGGTTCCTGGCGAACATAGCATGTTCGCGTTCGCCACGGCGTGCGAACATATGCGCGGTTCGACCCGCCCCCTATTCGTCATCATTGAGTAAACTTTGACCCTGTACCTCACAGTCAGCAGACACATTCCAGCCAATTAGCAGCACAGCCTCCCTAGCAGACCCTCCCACCTACTGGACAGCATCCATTTTAGATTCATTCTCAAGCTGCATGCTTAGTAAGAGGAGGGAAAGTGTAGCTGCTGTTCATAAGATAGGGAAAAGCATAGCTAGGTTAGGGATAAGGGTATGCTTTTTTTGGATTTTTTTTTTCTATCTAATGTAAATGCACTTAGTTGTCTGCCACTGCTGCCAGCTTCTGTGTCAGGCTCACAGTGCCCATTTCCCCAGTCAGTGCCACCAATTACATCTGGTGTCACAATAGCTTGGATTTAAAAACAAAAAACTTTTTTCACTGTTATAGATTGAATAGCAGTCAGTTGTCTGCCACTGCTGCCAGCTTCTGTGTCAGGCTCACAGTGCATACTGTGCCCATTTCCCCAGTCAGTGCCACCAATTACATCTGGTGTCACAATAGCTTGGATTTAAAAACAAAAAACTTTTTTCACTGTTATAGATTGAATAGCAGTCAGTTGTCTGCCACTGCTGCCAGCTTCTGTGTCAGGCTCACAGTGCATACTGTGCCCATTTCCCCAGTCAGTGCCACCAATTACATCTGGTGTCAGTAACTTGATTTAAAAACAAAAAACTTTTTACTGTTATAGATTGAATAGCAGTCAATTGTCCTTAAGCGAGGGTGTATTCGCTAACAGTGGATACGCTGACAAGTGCCACTAGTAGATCACAGATTGTCACAATAGCTTGGATTTAAAAACAAAAAACTTTTTTTACTGTTATAGATTGAATAGCAGTCAGTGTCCTTAAAGCGGGTGTGTTACGCTAACAGTGGATACGCTGACAAAGTGCCACTAATTAGATCTGGTGTCACAATAGTTTGGATTTAAAAAACAAAAAACTTTTTTTTCACTGTTATAGATTGAATAGCAGTCAGTGTCCTTAAAGCGGGTGTGTTACGCTAACAGTGGATACGCTGACAAGTGCCACTAATTAGA